AATTAAAAACAAGGAAATTATGAAAATTTCAGGCAAATGGATAGAACTAGAAAAGATCATCCTGAGTGAGGTAACCCTGAAGCAGAAAGACACACATGTTATATACTCACTTATAAGTGGATACTAGACATATAATATAGGATAAACATACTAAAATCTGTACACCTAAAGAAGCTAAGCAAGAAGAAGGACCCTGGGTAAGATGTTCAATCCTCATTCAGAAAGGCAAACAGGATAGACATTGGAAGAGGGAGAAAACACGGAACAGGACAGGAGCCTGAGAGGGCCACAGAGGGCCTCTGAAAGACTCTACCCTACAGGGTATCAAAGCAGAGATGGAGACTCATAGCCAAACTTTGGGCAGAGTACAGGGAGTCTTACAAAAGAAGAGGGAGATAGAAAGACCTGGAGAGGACAGGAACTCCATAAGGAGAGCAACAAAACCAAAAAATCTGGGGCCAGGGATCTTTTATGAGACTGATACTCCAACCAAGGACCATTCATGGAAATAACCTAGAACCCCTGCACAGATGTAGCCCATGGGAACTCAGTGTCCAAGTAGGTTCCCTAGTAAGGGGAACTGGGGCTGTCTCTGACATGAACTCAGTGGCTGGCTCTTTGATCACCTCCCCCTGAGGTGGAAGGGGGGCAGCCTTACCAGGCCCCAGAGGAAGACAATGCAGCCAGTCCTGATGAGACCTGATAAGCTAGGGTCAGAACAGAGGAATCTTAAATGGCCCAAGAAACACTTAAAGAAATGTTCAGCCTCCTTAGTCATCAGGAAAATGCAAATCAAAACTACTCTGTGATTCCATCTTACACCCATCAGAACGGCTAAGATAAAAAACTCAAGTGACAGCACTTGGGAGAAAGGGGAGATTCTCTTCCATTGTGGTGGGAATGCAAACTTGTACAACCACTTTGGAACTCAATCTGGTGGGTTTTTTTTGTTTTGTTTTTTATTTTTTTTCAGAAATTTGGAAATAGATCTACCTCAAGGCACAGCTATACCACTACTGGTAAATACCCAAAAGGTGCTCCTCCATACAACACTGGCACTTGCTCAACTATGTTCATAGCAACTTTATTTGTAATTGCCAGAAACTGGAAACAACCCAGATGTCCCTCAACTGAAGAATGGATAAAGAAAATGCGGTACATGTACACAATGGAGTATTACTCAGCCAGTAAAAACAGACAACATGCAATTTGCAGGGAAATGAACAGAACTAGAAAAGATCATCCTGAGTGAGGTAACCCAGACTCAGAAAGACAAACATGGTATGTACTCACTTGTAAGTGGATATTAGCCATAAAATACAGACCCAAAAGAAGCTAAGAAACAAGGAGAGCCCAAAGGGGGAATTCTTGAATCTCACTGAGAAGGGGAAATAAATCAGACATTGGGGGTAAAAGGAGGGAGAGGACTGGGTAAGGAAGGGGTGGGGATAGGAACATGAGGAATGGGAAGGGGGGAGGATAGAGGGAGAGAGTACTGGAGAGACAATTGGACTGGGGCAGTATCTCTGGGATGGGCTAGAAACCTAGGACAATGGAAACTCCCAGGAACCTATGCAGGTGGAAGACTCCTAGCAATGGGGGATATGGAGCCTGATCCAGCCATCTCCTGTAAACAGGAAATGCAGTGGAGGGAGGGTACACCAACCCAGCCACAAAACCTTAAACACTCAATTTGTCCTGACTACAAGAGATGCAGGGGTAAAAGACGGAGCAGAGTTTGAGGGAAGGGCCAGCCAGTAATTAGCCCAGCTTGAGACCCACGCCATGAGAGGAAGCCAATACCGGACACTGTTGATAACATTCTGCTATCCTTGCAGACAGGAGCCTAGCATAACAGTCATCAGAGAGGCTTCACTCAGCAACTAATGGAAACTAATGCAGAGGTCCACAGGCAAACATTAAGAAGAGCTTGAGGAATCCTGTAAAAGAGGGGAAGGGAAGATTGAAGGAGCCAGAGGGGTCAAGGGAACCACAACTAAACCTACAGAGTCAACTAACCTGAGCCCACAGGTGCTCACGGAGACCGAATTGCCTACCAGAGTGTATGCATGAGATGGACCGAGGCCCTCTGTGCACATGTACAGCTGTGCAGCTGAGTCTTCAAGTCAGGCTCCTAAAATAGGAGTAGGGGCTGTCTCTGACTACATTGTATTGTGTGTCCTTGGGTCCCTTTCTCCTAACTGGCCTGCCCTTTCTAACCCCAAGAGAAGAAGATACTACTAATCTTACTGCAACTTGATGTGCCAAGGCTACTTGATATCCATGGGAGGCTTCTCCTTTTCTGAGAAGGAGAGGTGGATGGGGAAGCAAGAGGGGGAAGGGAAGAGAGGGGAGAGGAAAGAACTGGGAGGATAGAATGGGGGAAGCTGTGATTGGGATGTAAAATAAATCATTTAATAAGTAGAAAAGAACAAAAAATTCATAAAGTAATTTTTTTTTTAAAAGTCCAGGCCCATGAAGAATTCAAGCTTGTGTTTCCAGTCCCTATTCTGAAACCACAAATGAAGCCGCTGCCTCTGTGGGTCAGTGTCCTCTTTGGTTTCTATTGCTGTGGTAAGACCAAAAGGAACCAGGAAAGGAAAGGGTTTGTTCGGCTTACAGGTCCAGATCACAGTTCATCATTGAAGGAAGCCAAGTCAGGAACTCAAAGCAGGAAGCTAGATGCAGAGACTGTGGAAGAGTGCTGTTGGTGGTTTGTTCCCCATGGCTTGCTCAGACTGTTTCCTTATGCAACCCAGGATCACTTTCCCAGGGGTGGCATCAGCCCCAAAGGGCTGGGCCCTCCTACATCAATCTTCAAGAGAATGTCCCCATAGACACGCCTATATACCAATCTGATGGGGACATTTTCTCAGTTAAGATTCTCTCTTTACACATCTCTAGCTTATTCCGAGTCGTCAAACCAGCTCAGTCAGCCTGTTCTCAGCGTTAAGAAACTGGATTCAGTAGATGTGAACTTGTGTCAGCCATCTTTCCATCAGCATCCCATCCCCACGTTGATCCACAGGGTGCCCTGGGTCAGTACTGTACCCATTCTCACCTCCAAAATACTCACTGTGCAGACAGACCACGTGTCCACTATGGGACGAGATAACAAAGGGGCCTAAGAAAAGCGTCTTCAGGAAGAAAGGGCTCACAGTTTGAGGTGTAGCCCACCAAGGAAGGGAAGCATTGGTGATAGGAACAGGAAGCAACTGTTGGTGTTATGTTCACGGTGAGGGTGCAGAGTGGTGAATGCTGTACTCAGCTCTCCCTCCCTTTTCAGTGGCACCACCCTCAGGGTAGATCTTCTCAGCTCAGCTGAGCCTCTCTGAAACCACCTTTATAGACACAGTGAGGCATATGTCTTCAGGTGATCATGAGGAGGACAGACGGGACATGGCAGTGGGCACTGGTGTTTGCACTCACGGCTGTGCTGCTGATGGCATTGCTGGGTCTCTGTGGAGCAGCCAGGCCACAGGAAAATGTGTCTCACTTCTGAAGAACTGCTGTTTACTTTGAGGACTTGCAAATGATCCTGAACCAGCAGAGGTTTAATGTAATATCTGCTTCTCTGAGGTAATCCATACGTAAAGAGCTTCTCTTATTAAATATTAGAGTTGTTTCCTATACATTTCTCAGCCAGAAAGAACAATCCTTTAACAATTTTGTGTAGGCTTTTGGACTGTCTCACGTAAATTAACAACCAGCTGTAATGACACTGTACCAACCATAACCTTCTCAGAAAGAAGCCATGAGTTGTGGATCTGAGTCACCTTGCAGGCTCTGCTCTGGTGGAGCTATGGGCCTCTTGTCAGTGTTTGTGGTGGCCTTTCCTGGGCACACTCAGATGACGGATCTCCACCCAGCCTGGCAGAAGTAGTCAGAACTCGCATTTTCTGACCACTGGCCAGGCTAATTGATCTCTTTTGTGGAAAACAATCGCCCACTCACAGTTAGGCCTAGGGTCTCACATACTTAGTAAACCCAGAGCCATCTCCCGTGAAAGAAGTCTTCCAGCCTGTACACTAAGATGACTCAGCCACGCATCTCTCATCCCATACATCACTGCTTGAAAACATTTACTTTATTTCCCCAGCTAGATACCAAGTGAGTTGAGGGCACAGAATGACAAATTCTTTGGAGTCCTCTGCTGCTGAAGACAGTACGTTACAAGACCTAAAAATTCAAGTACTCTGTTGACCTCTTTTCAATCTCACAGCATTGCGAGGGCCTAAGCATGAAGTCCCAAGCTCATGCCAGTTCAGCCCCTGTCAAGTCTCTACCTCTACAAGGCCAGTACATGTCACTAACAAGCCACTGTTATATTATGTCCATGCCTGTGTGACTTTTATGTACATGTCACTAACAAGCCACTATTATGTCCATGCCAGTGTGAATTTTGTGCACGTCACTAACAAGCCACTGTCATATCATTCATCCATACTGGTGAGGATCCTCCCTTGGTGATGGGATAAAGAAGGGGTGATCAGAACAGAGCAGGTCTGAGTCTGGGCTTGGCCAGGCCCTTGTGTGGGAGTCTGGGCAAGCCAGCAGCTGGAAGCTAGTGGTTCTCTAATGTCTAACTCCACTCACTGGGCAACAAGGGAGCAGAACACATTTGTGAGTTGAGTTTCCCGTGAAAGTGAGCAATCCAGCATGACGGGTTGTGCTTGGCCTACTGTGGAACCACAGTCAGAACAAATGGCTTCCTTCTCACTGCTCTTTTCCCAAATGGCTCTCCGCAGCAGAACATATGCAGAATTCTACTTATGCGACAACGTCTCCTCTGAAAACTGGAGAAACATGCAAGGGACAGTTACAATGCCCAAGAAATGTTCGCAGCGTGTTATCAACCAGAAAGCGAGTGCCCAGTGCCCTGCTCTGGAGGCAGTTCCTGGTACCATGAAGCCTAAGCAGGGTCAATATTTCCTCAAGTTGCCAGGGGACGACTACAGTGATGTGTTTCAGAAACCACTGGCCCCTCCCAGGACCCTTACCTTTCAAGGTGGCTTTCTTCAGGACCTTCATGGCGTAGAGCTGCCCAGCATCCGATCCCGTGACCTTCCTCACCAAGAACACCTGAGAAGCAGGAAACACATGGGCTGTCTGTGGTGATTAGATTTAGTTGTCACCTGGACACAATGCAGAGTCACCTGCAAGAGACCACTGAAGGACTGTTTGCCTTGGGTTCCCTTGAGAGTGTCTGCGGCGGGCTGTCTTAACTGATGTGAGAGAGCCAGCCTGCTGCGTGTGGCACAGTCATAGGCAGGACTGCTGCACTGTCTGAGCGTGGAGCAACTGAGCTGAGTATAAGCTGGCAGGCTAGCAGGTGAGCACTGACCACCCATTCCTCTGTGCTCTTCACTGTGGCCGGGATGTGACCAGTTGTCTGAAGCTCCTGCTGCTGTGACTGCCCTGTTGTACTGGGCTGTGGCCCGGGAGCCAGAGAAGCCCTTTCCGCCTGAGATGCTTCTGCAGAGCACCTTCTCAGGAGAGGTGAGACGGAACACTATCCTAGGTGGCTTGACAAGGGCCTATGAAGGATGCGCCAATCGTGGGAGCACCACAGGGAGTAGAGCCTATCCCCAGCACTTAGGCTGCCAACACACACTTCATCTACTTGAGGCAGCTCTGGGGTGAGTACCATCCTGCGTCTGGTTTGGGTACAAGAAGGGAGACCCACACAGAACAGATTGTACCAGATTTGCAAGACACACTGACTACTCCTATTTGAACTCTCCTTACCCAGATTTGTCTTAGGGTTTCTTTTGCTGCAATGGAACACCATGACCAAAGCAAGTTGGGGAGGAAAGGGTTATTTGGGGTACATTTCAATATCACAGTTATTATCAAAGGAAGTCAGGACAGAAATTCACATAAGATAGGAACCTGGAGGCAGGAGCTTAAGCAAAGGCCATAGAGGGGAGCTGCTTACTGGCTAACTCCCTCTGGATGGTTCAGCCTGCTTGCTTATAGAACCCAGGACTGCCAGCCCATGGATGGCACCACCCACAAAGGACTGAGCCTTCTCCCATCAATCACTAAGTAAGAAAATGTCCTACTGGTTTGCATACAGCCTGATCTTCTGGAGGCATTTTCTCTATTGAAGTTTCTTCCTTTCAGATAATTTTAGCTTGTGTCAAGTTGACATAAGGCTAGCCCAGACAAGATTCTAGTTGTGGGCAGCAGAAGCTCACGGACAGATTTTGCTGGCTCTTAAGCACACGTGTGTGGGTATTTAATGTTCTCTGAAACACTTTTGATGCAAGAACTAAATCAACAAAACAAAAGATACCAGATATAGGCTGGGTTGCAGGCAAGATTACTGATTTTTGAAATAAATTGATTAAGAAAATCACTGAGAACGAAAAGGAGTGTTCCCCACAAGTGAAGAAAGCTCTGATTTTTCTAAAAGAATTTTCCCACTGATGTAAGACCTGCTTGGTGACAGAGCCCACACTGTCACGGCTATGGTGTAGTTGTGGCAGAGGCAACTTCCCTTAGATGGATCTGTTGCATTTCTCCTTCCCAGAGGCTTTCATCCAATGCACTTTGGTGTATCCTAGCTCTGTGCAAGCTCTAGATAGCCCACACTGGCCACCGATGTGGCACCATCATGAGTCTGTATCTGTAACATCAGTCATGGTAGGGCTTTGGGTTTCCCTAGCCATGTGGTAGATAAGCCCTCACTCTCTTGTTCTCCATCATAGACAAGGAGTGTTGAGGAACCTGCAGAGTGTGGAGCAGGGTCTTCTAGTGTAGAGACAAGGCATGGACCCATCAGTATCTGCTGTTCTCACAGAAGACCCCAGACATCTCTTCCAGCGGCTCAATAGAGGAGGAGGTAAGAAGATGCATTGCCCAAACCCAGGACTTACATCTGTAGATGAAATATCAGCCCCACATCTACATCATGGATCCTGAAAGGAGTTCAGCTGCCTCTACCCAACTCCTCCTAGCCACTGCCAGTTCTGTAATCATGTCCCTCAGCAGGAGAGACTATCTGATATCCGTGGGAAAATCCACGCTGTCTGCCAGAAGACAAAAGATGCAGGAGTGGAAAAGAGCTCTGTCTTGTATGGTGATCAGCACCTCCAGGAACATACAGGGTCCTGGGAAGTCATGGAAACAAACTGTCAGTGGGAATGGTGTGGGATAGCCATGTGTACGTGTGTACACATTCCATGGCTGGATGAACAAGCCTTTGCTACAGACCCAGAAGAGAGCCTGGAGCTTACTCTCATTTGTACCAACTGCTGTGCTGGATCTGAGACACCAAACCCATCCACAGGGTCTTGTGATCCACATGAACACAGCTCTGCCATATCCTAAAAGTTACTGTAGATCCAGTGGTCCTCAACCTTCCTAATGTTCCAAGCCCTTGGTACCAGTTCCTCAAGCTGTGGTGACCCCAACCATAAAATTGATTTCATTGCTGCTTTATAACTGTAATTTTGCTACTGTTATGAATCGTAATGTAAATATCTGTGTTTTCCAATGGTCTTAGGTGACCCCTGTGAAAAGGTCATTCAGTCCCTAAAGGGCTTGCAATCCACAGGTTGAGAACAACTCTTCTAGGCAGTGTTGTACTGGGTCAAGAGCACTTCCTCTGTGTAGGAAATGAGCTTCCCAATACGCAGCTAGGAATGAGAAAGCAGTGGTTGAAATTCAGTACTTTTTTTTTAACTGCTTAGTCCCTGTGTCTGAACTGACTCAGTGTAGTTCCCATCTGATGTAATTCCATTCCCTCTCCCAGCCTGTTCCTGACACCTACAGCATCTATCGCACTTTGTCAAAAAAGTGTAGAATTGCTTAATGCCTGGCAGGCAGGAGGCAGGAGGAGGCAGGAGGAGGCAGGGTAGGAAGAGGCAGGGTAGGAAGATGCAGGAGGAGGAAGGAGGATGGAGGAGGCAGGAGGAGGCAGAAGGGAGGAGGAGACAGGGTAGGAAGAGGCAGGGTAGAAGGAAGCAGGAGGAGACAGGAAGAGGCAGGAAGATGGAAGAGGCAGGAGGAGGCAGGGTAGGAGGAGCCAGAAAGCGTAGCCAGGAGTCTAGGTGGTGATGAGGAACCCTAGGTGCTATGCAGACCACCATCGCACCACATGCTAAGTGGTGGAAAGCGGGATAGGGTTTATAGCAGGGTTTGTGCTGTTGGACACAGGACCAACACATTTTCCTTTCAGCCATCAGGCTGGAGTCAGTGGGATCTGAGCACTGAGGGGCCAGCACAGAACAGTTTGGCTGTAGCCCTGCCGTGATGATTGCATGCCAATGTGTGGGGTCGAGGATGTATGCATCTGTGGCCAAGCCATCAAGTCTCCTGGAGAACAGGATCCTAGGTCACTGTTCGAGACCTCAAAGGACTCTGGCCAGTAGACAGATGAACCTCTCCATTCTGTCGTATTTCGGCTGAAGCCCCAAGAGAAAGGTCTGCACAGTGGAAAATTAACCATAAAATCCTCCCGCAGGGAGAAGCCTGGAGAGAGGAAGCAATGTCTTCACATTCAGGACTTCTTGACCTTTCCCCATACCCTACCATGTAATGTGGCATGATGTGACAGTGTCCTCCAAGGTCCCCGCCATCGGTCGTCCCCATCTCCACTCAGCAGTGTCGGGACAGAGGCTTGTGGAGCCCTGAGCCACATTACAACACATCAGGAAGGTCCTCATAGATGTGGGCAGACTGGCACCACACCCTTGGACTTCCTGGCCTCCAGAACCACGAGGCAAATAAGCTTCTTTTCCTTAGAACTTGCCCAGTTTTTAGTCTTTGAAAACTCAGTTATAGCAACACAAAGCGTGCTAAGACAGAAGTCACGGTGATGGATGCAGAGAGCTGTCCCACCCTGACAGCATCTAAATGAAAAACCACATCCACAGAGCACTGGGCAGTGCCAATTACAAATTAGCTAAGCCAGTGCCAATTGCTGCAGATATTTGCATATAAAATACTTAAAATTTTTTGGAGACAAAGTATCACTCTGTAGCCAAGGCTGGCTTCACATTCACAGCAATCCTCCTGCCTCAGCCCGTGAGCGCCAAAAATAATTTCCTTATTGTATTTCAGATGTTAATAATGAAACCACTGACGGCAGTGGCTAGTGCTTCCACTCATCTGTTTTTAAGCAGGATTTCTGCATAGAAACAGACCCACTCTGTCACTATTATATGCTCCTACTAAGTGCTGAGAATGAGAGCTGTGTGCACCAGTTCCCCCTAAGGTGATTAGAAGACTGGACACGTGTTCCCCTAAGAGAAGGGACTCGGCTTCAGTGCAGGCAGAGCGCTGAGCTCGTATGGCAGCAGGAACAGCACTCAGGAGAGGCACTCCATCACATCCCTCTCCTGCTCCTCTGCTTATATAATTTAACAATTTATTTGGATGCAGTGGAAAAAGCCCCCAGGCAAGTCTGACGGTTTTAGCAAATATGGCTACTGTACCCCTGACGCTTCACGCAGCGGCGTGTGCTGACTTGTCCCACTTTCAGGACAAGTTCTGCACAGGCAGCTGTGTGGCCGGAGCCAGAGCGGTCACTGCATTGCCCCACACTCTCAGGACCACTGTAATCGAAGGCACCACTGCCCAACTCTCTCATGTTCTCAGCCTGGTAATGGGACCTTGAACGGCAGGACGGAAGAAACACGGCTAATTTCTGGGGACTCCCAGGCAACAGTATCCCTCAAAAGAAGGCATTTAGAGCCGCACTCATTTAATGCCACTGTTCGGTTATAGGAAAGCAAGGACATTTTAAAATGTCAGCTTGCTCCCTTCTCAGAATGTGGGACTCACAATTTACCACACTCTGGGGAATTTTAAAGAAAAACGGAGAAAGCGTCTGCTCCTGCCCTGGTATTTCTCAGCAAAGGGGAGCTGTGGGGAGCTGGAGGAGGTGGAGATCTCCACCCAACCACAGGCTCTGGCACTTCCTGCATCTCCGCCCCAGAGCAGCAGTCTGTACCAGCCCGCTCAGCGCTGGAACACAGTACCAGGCTTCATCACTTTCTGACTAAGCTTAGATCTCTCTTCTTTTGAAGGTGGAGGCTGTTTTACTCACTGTCCTCTGGTTCCAAGCCCAGGCGCCCCAGGACGGTGCAGTGCTGACAGGCTGCAACCCACACTGATGAGGAGACATGCGAAGGATTGGCCACACCATGCCCTGCACACACGACAGTGTCTGAAGTGCGAGTTAACAGGGCACAGGGTACCGTGTAAGACCAAGCTCCAGGCTATGAGCATCCTGAGGTACTTTGGCATCGGGACCTAAGGCAGCTGAGCCTCAAATGCTATCTGGGAGGAATTCCGGCCAGAGCCTCCCTATTCTGGGGTTCAGTGTAGCTGCTTAGAAACCATCTGATCAGGGGGCACATGCAGAGAGAGGCATGAAGCTGGAGTTCAATGGCCCTCTGCTGAGTCAAGGGCAAAGATGTGTTTCTTTGTGTCAGGGTATTCATTTAGTCACTCAAGCAAGGAAGGTGGGGACTTCCAAGAACAGCCTGCCCTGGGACCCATGGCAGAACCAGAACCTTCCACAGAAAGGAAACACGCCTGCCCTACATTTATAAGTCCAGATTGTATTTCCCTGCAGAGTGGGACTAGTTTAGCATGGAGCAGCATACCAATTGGCTGCTCATGCTACTGCCATGAGAAAGAAAACCTGTACGGTCAAATACAACATGACATGTAATTGGTCCCCTTAGCTGCTGTGCAGACCCTAGGACAGCCTGAGTGAGTCTTCAGGGCGCCCGACTTCCTCCCAGACTCCTACTCTGGTCTCCTCACATTCTGAGACAGTGCATTGGGCTTGGGGGAGCAGGGATGAAAGCAAGGATCTCCAGGGTGGGACGCCCACAGGAGCTTACCCTTCCACTGCCCCCGTTTCCCTTCTCCCAACGGGCGCCTGCACAACTCCGCTCCCTCGTCCCACCTGCCCGTATGAGATCAGGAACTGAAGGGATGGTGCACCTAGCATGTCACTAACGTCTCTATGGCAACAGAGCCAAGTCGACACTCGCTCCAAAGAAAAGCTTTTTAAAAAGCAAAGTTAAAATGTAAAATGAAAGAGGAGCCGGGGAAAGCCTTTCCTCCTTCACTCATATA